CCCCCATTCCCCCCCTCCTGGTACTAACTGGCCTGCGACCAAATCCCCCAGGTGCTCTATAAGTAAACTCCTAGACTGCCCATTGTGGCTAAAACTGTTACATAATCCCTGACCGCTGCACATACCTGGCAAGACTTCCTGTTTGTAGTATAACAAGGCTTTTGCACCAACAGTATATGCTCTCTGAGATCCAAGTCAAATCTGCCTGTGACAAAAACACAGCCAATGCTGTGCTCTTACCTCTAGTACGAGCCACAGCTGATCCCCACATTTGATGTCCTTCTTGTAATACATCCCGTAAAACTTGACCACATTGGCATGGTCAGAAAGAGCTTTGAGGATGTTGTATTCAGCTTCAATTTCCTCATCGATATCCTGAAACACAAGAGCAAACATCAGCTAAGTGCGTACGACACACACATTTTAACACCTACAATCTCATCTTTAGCTATTTTTTTTTTTACCAGCCATATTTTATCTTTGAATGTTTAATGCCAAATAACAGAGTAATAGAGGCAATACTAATTACTACCTGGACTACTGTCTAGGCATGAGTTAAATAATATTAACTAATGCCTTTAAAAATAACAAGCCATGTTGTTTTTAAAGTGATCTATAAATAAAGTTGGATTGGATTGGCCGATTGACAAGTTGTTACATTTACAAAGCTATTTATTGCTTGTTACAGTGTTTAGAGCTAACCATCCACTGGATCCTGCTTCTCAGTCCTCTTAGTTTAACTCTAACCAAGAAAATAACAATATAAAGATCAGCTGAATGGATACTTTGTTATTATTGCTTACATTTTTTTCTTTCATTTATTTACCTTCTAGATTTTGTGGAGAAAACTGTAATTTATTTGCTTTCTCTCTCAACTTTTTCTTTTCCTACACCAGTAGTGATGAGGAGGATACTCTCAACAATGTTCATTCAAGAGAACAGTGACAGAGTTGTGGTGATATCACAGATACACAGCCAATGTAATGTCCATAAACAAGACTTTGAGAATGATTCATTTATTTGTCCTGTCATTTCGAAGACATGTATCTGCAGCTCCCCATTTAACTGCTTTGCAACCTTTTTAAATATCAAGAACGTCATCGGTTGCCTGATTTGATCAAAGAAAAACAGAGCGACCGGCCTTCGGACACTATGCAAAGTCTCCACCATTTATTCTGCAATTTAATGTGGGCGAGAGGACATATCCAGGACATGTTAAATACAGCAGTCATCGTATACTCTTCTTCTGTATGTTGCACGGTTATTAAAGCCTAAAGAACGGGAACTTTTAGCATATAATGCAAATCGTGCTGGCAAAGACTCAAATCTCAATGGATGGTTTTGGAAAATGTGAAGGAGGGCATAATTTTTTAGACTTCCTACATTCATACTAAACCAAAGTAATTACATTTTTTCATGTTTTGTCTGTAAAAAACAAAACAAAAATAGTTTCATAATTACAACAAAGACAGGGCAACAAACTACTTAACACTTTGATATATAGATATCTTAGGGACTAAATGTGCAGTTAAACTTTTCTTTACACTGATAGAAATAAGAATTTCAAAGATCCAGGCCACTTAAGATCAAAGTGGCTATATGTGGCCCACAATGTAAAATGACTTTGCTTTATACATTTAATGTAGCTTAAGGTAGAAGGCAAAACTATAGAAAATTACTGGACTACAAATTGCTTTTCATCAAAAAAAAGTAAAAAGAAAAAGATAAAGCTTTGAACTAAACATAACATACATTTAAAAAATCTGTACTGCGTCTTCTATATGTGAACAAAATGAGTGCAGTGACTAAGATTATGGTAATGATGCGCTTTGCGTTTCTTAATAATAAGAAACAAATCCCCTCCCAAATTAATGAGACTTGAAGAGTGTGTTTAATAGAAGAACCCTGCTGCTCATTAAATGCCTCTAAATAAACCATGCACTATAACGTAGACTCAAAATAGACAACACAATAGATGAAGAACGGTAACAAACAGACTACTCTAATATGGTAATGCTCAGAAATGTAACACATCTGAAGTAATCTTCTGTAAATGGTAAATCTAGTAATTATAAAAAATGTTGACTCTATAGGACAGATCAGTCCCACAGTGTCATGTTTAACATCATGTTTCTCTGCAGCATGACAAAGTCTTCTTCTCTTTAGGCTGTTTCTTTTTTTTCTTCTCCTTCTTCACACACTTCTGCTGTAATGCCAAATTTGTGTTTTGGCTCTGTGCTAAAGCACCCCACAAGCAACGCAAGTCCAAAATGATCAGAGTGCTAAACTGATACCATCAGAGGCAATTTGCTGAGATAATTTGCTGATGGTTGTAGATGGGAAGAATAGTTACAAGAATCTCGCTTGAGGTGTTTCCAACCTGCTTGGCTTTATTCTCTTCACAGGCTGAGAACAAAGCAGAGCAGAGTGATGTTTATCTTACCGAGGGCAGAGCTAATGAGTCAGACTACACTGACGATTTGATTTTTTTGTGCTTGCAAAGCCAGAGGTTTTTCACATCATAAAGGTTTTTCTTTCTTTCTGAGATGGTGGGGCTTTTACTGTTTACTTCTCAGTAAGTTTTCTACCCACCTATTTAGATTTCTTTTTAAATCCTGGTATCTTTTTAAATCCTATTTAGATTTCTTTTTAAATCCTGGTGTACATAGGCTATGTATACCAGCTGGTATACATAGCCTATGGGCACGCTTCAGATGAAATGTAATAGAAAATCATGACTTTTAACCTTGGAAGATCATGTGCACTCCCTGTTCCAGATATAAAGCTCTAAAAAAGGTGAAAAATAATGAAACATATAAAATACACATTTTCAGTTTAAAAAGATAAAATTCAATCACATTTAAGGTGTCATACAACAGGGAAAACTATACTAACAATCAACTAAAACTAAAGTTGATTGTTAGTATAGTATAATGTTAGTATAATGATGTAAATTAAACACTTGCCATGTCACAAGACATTAATGTGTACTTCTTGTGCCATCACTAAGAGCAAAACAATATATATAGATATATATACCAATCAGGCATTAACATGACATTATGCTTAAAATTGTGTTGGTCCCCCTTTTGCTGTAGTTGGGGCCTCACGCTTGTTTGACCAGCACAATCCACAAATGGTCGATTGTTGGCATCTTGTTGGCGCTTTTGATGGCAAACAAGCCTCAGCATGGGCACGGTGACTGGTCTATAGCCCCATAAGCAACAAACTATAATGCGTTGTGTATTCTGACACCTTTCTATCACAATCAGCATTGCATTTTTGCCGATTTGAGCTACTCTCATCTGCTCATATGTTGGATCAAACCTAAGGGTCAGCCTTTGCTCCCTGTGCACATCAATGAGCTTTGACTGTCTATGACACTGTTGCTGGTTCATCTGTAGCTGGTCAGTGAGTCATCAGAGTGTTGGTAATTTTTACACACTGTGCACTTGGCACTGATCAATTTCGCTCTATAACTTCTTGGTCTGACATTTTGTGGCTGAATCACTGTGTTTTCTAAATGTCAGATGTGAAATACGTGGAATATTTAGGAGGGAAAAATATTCACAAATGCACCTGTTGCAATGGCGACATCCGTTGCAGTGCCATACTGAAATTTAGTGAACTCTATAGAATGACCTATTCTAAGCACTGGATTGTAAAGCTCTTTCACAATGTACTTCTTATGTAACAAACTCAACTTACATGGATCGGATCCAGTATCTTCACAGCTGCTTTACTTCCATCTATTTTATTAAGCACCTTATAGACTTTTCCATAGGTCCCTTTGCCAATTGTCTCGATGATTTCCCAGGTGTCGGTCGGATCTGGAAAGTTGTCAAAGACAATCGATTTCCCTGATCGTGGAAACATCTTTAGGAGATATCTCCTGCAGAATGGGAAAAACACATGTACATGTGAGTCAGTGATAGAGAAGGGGCAGGCGGTAAGTTGGAGGGGACATTGTGCTGTGTGTGACCTATATTATACACCAGTTAGTGCAGCTATACTGTTATTAATCCATGTCTGAACTGAGTAAACACATTAGTAAAGAGCTCAGATGAAGGGGATTTAAAGCTATTGTGCAAGTACATAATGTACAGTAGATCTTTTCCTTCAGATTCTAAATTCAACACCTGAAGCTTAATCAGACGAGTGTTCAAAGTTCACGCTGGTTTGTTTGGGAATTAAACTGGAAGTGTTTTACTTGAGGATAATCCGGGCATGCAATATAGATGAGGGGTTAAATTGGGTCTTTAGGGGATTTAACGCCCATCTATATCTGCAGTAAATATTAAATCTACAGGAAATAGCTTTGATTTTCAGCAGATTGAAGCTTTATAACATAACAATGCATAAAAATAAAGGCAACAACTGTGCTTTCCTTCTTTAAGACTCTTCAGTGTCCTGTTACAGATAAATGGGATGTCTTAGCTTTAAGTCACAGCTTTTCTGTAAACACTCAGAGGGGTGTGCTTCCTACTTTCAGGTCCAATCCGACACATTCCCAATTTTTAAGGCTGATATCATTCGACACCAAATTAATCAAGATATTCAGCAAGATACATCCAAGATGGCAAGGTGATAATATGTACATATATTTTAAAAAGCAAACAGCTATTAGTAAATAAACCCATATGTTGTCTTTGCATGGAAATATGCAGAAGAAAGTTCAGGTTCTGCAGATCAATCAGATAATTACATGAAATGAAATTACATGAAATGTGTATCCTTCAAAGGTGTCTGTCTGTCATCACAGAACTCAAAGAACCACATCCACAAAGCTAAAGCAAAGACAAAAGCACAACCCTCTCAATCAAACTTACATTATTCTCCGAATTCAATGCAGCACATTTTGGGGAGGAAAACAAAGCAATTAATCCATTTCTGTGCAAAAGGTTAGCAGTGGCAGGCCAGCCTGGCCCGGCAGTGAGTACCACAAACAGAGGAGGAGCTAACGAAAGCTAATCTCACTAGCAATTCCCCTGCTGCAGGGCTGCCATTGGAAACTAGCTCTGAGAGATTGGAGATACAGTGGGATTAGCAGGAATTAGTCACTGTTGCAGCATGAGCCTTTCCCCATATAGATGCCCATTCACACACAAAAGAAAACTATCTCGAGTTGACGTGCACAGTGATGCAAAATGCCGCCTTCTTCTTCTTTTTATTATCATTTTTCACTTTATTTTGGGGTGAGAGAAGACTGCCACCCAGGGTGCCATCTTATACTCAGGTCCTGCAGTTATTTTATCTGAACTAGTTAAGATGATTTAAATTGTACAGATTCCTGCACTCAGCAAGATAAAACTGGCAGGCAGGCACATTATTTTGCAGAGATATCATCAGCCATCGCCCATGCAGAGCAATTAGACTCCTATACATGTATCCTTGTGTAGGTAATTGCACGTGTAATGTACATTGCCCAAGTAATCCACGGACATCCTCAATAATACATCACTGCCTGTGTGTGTCAACATGCTGCGACACATGAGAGGGAAGGGCGAAACCTTAGGACTCACAGTGGACACCTCCAACAGGATCACAAGCTGCAAGGAAGTAACCCTTTAGAGGAGGCAGTGTGCGTGAGTTTGTGACTGCATGCATGTGGTTATTTAAGCTTGTGTGCCCCAGAATACTGGCTGCCTGTCACTTTTCATTAGCTGTTAAAGGTTGTGGCATTAACCATAGTCTGTGTGCACAAATAATGAAATGCAGATGTGTAACTGAGCATGTATTTACTGCTTTGCTATTATTTGATAGAAATAATACAGTTTTGTTGCTGTTGTTTTGTGTCTTGTTTATGTGAAAATTAAATATAAATGTGTGGGGTTTTTTTTAAGTCAAGTGAAGGCACACTCCTTGATCTGAGTGGCGTCTCATCAAGACGTCTGGCCACTTCAGGCTACTCTGTAACCCTGATGAATGGGTTAATGTTTCAGCTTAACCTTGGCACATGAAGTTTGCCCGTCTACAAGCTGAGATAATCTGCCTCACTGGGCTCATCAGAGTCCAAAAAACACAGCGCTCCCACTCAGACAGCATGAGCTTGGTAAAAGAATTCTGTGAAGCAAGTGGCTACGACCGGAAAGACACAGATAAAGATCCTCATAATATCAAGCCAAATAAGCCCATGTGAATAGAATAGAAACTTGAAAGCATCACCCCAGAATTTATTAGAAATAATATAAAAAGGTTTTTTTGGGAGTACAAACAATAAGGCATGTCAAATCTTGCAAACAGTTCATCGACAGCTGTAGCAGCTTAACTTCTCCACATGGTAAACATAAGTTACACTTTACAATCTTTACAGACTTAAATGTTGCCAAATTATTACAAGTGAACTAACTTTACTGACCTTTGATGGCTTGCAGTGAAAAGGCACAAAGCGAACAGAGACACATGGATGGTAAGGATAAAGCATAGATTACACTTTCACATATGCACGCGTACACACACACGGTATCCACACAGCCTGCACTGGGCTACTACTGAGCCACTCCCAAAGTTTGCAAATAAGAAATCCAAATGAAGCAGCCTGGACGTGTTTATGGTTGCAGTAAAAGATGCAAACATGTTTAGGTAAGTCAAGAAACTGGATCAGCTAGTATAAAAAGTTAGCATCATACTTACTCTTTCCTAAGTGCATTAACATGCTTGGGTATCAGTTGTGGATGGCAGCAGCAGCAGCAACAGACCAGAGCAGGATGTTGTTCCTGTGTGCCCCAGCCACCTCTGCTATGTATTATACATCAAGAATAAGGAACGCTCGCAAAGTTATTATCCCCAAGTAATTGGTTTTAGTAATTATCTTAGGCATGAGGACATCCAGTAGCCAGCAGCCGATCAGTTGATAGTGTCATAAATTAACCTGCAGAAGACAAGCTAACAGCGGGCGAGTATACGGACGACAACAAGGAGCGAGTCAGGTGAAACAGGCCGTGGCTGCTCTGGTGCTCCTCTCAGCATCATTCAGCAGTGTCCCATTACACGGGTGCTGCTGGGGAAGAGTCCCAGCAGTGCCAGCAGAGCTCGGCTGAGAGTTCAGTTCAAAGGGCTCGAGTGATGTTATCTGAAACGTGCTTCACATAAAGTTTATTTAATGCAGTCATTTTACATCAGTAAATCCAACTCTTTATCGTTTTTGACGCGTAGAATAAAGTCAGAGAGTCAAATATTGTAAGGATGAACAAAACCTGAGAAAGAGATTATATTTATTTTCACTGCAAGTGAGCGCCGTTTGCACAGACTGTAAAAAAAAAGGCTAACGTGACATCATCTATTGATTAGCCCTATTATGAAAAACTGACCTTAATGTTTTCAGCGTTGCCGTCTTCGTGTTTTGAAAGCGAGGTGTGAGAAACCAAGGCACCACACCTCATTAGCCAATCAAGATATCCCGGAGGATCTTCCTTCTTGACTCTAATAATGACCATAATTTACCAAATGACCGTAATGGTTTATTTAATATGACATTGAAATAGTGACTGAGTCTGTAAAGCCATCGGGGAAGCGTTTTCAGAGGTCTCGGAATGAGGGAAAGACTGACTCAGCTGAGCTGGGGCTAGTAGTTGCTACAAAATCTGCGCCATGACCAGTCTGAATCATTGATACATGGCAGTACAGAGCTTTCGTGTACTTTGACCCAAATTTTAACCCTACAGTCTGTATGTGGCAGCAGAAATCAAGACCCATCAGAGCAGGGAACATTTTTTCAGTCTTCAGTTGTCTAATTCTGGCAAGCCCCTGTGATTGCAGCCTCAGTTTTCTGTTGTCAGGTGACAGGAGTGGCTGTTCTGCTGCTTCAACATTTCATGTGCTGTTTGTTCAGAGATGCACTTTGGTAAACGTTGGTTATTCGAGTTACTCTTGGCACTTTTCCTCTGATGTCTGGCATCAACAAACCATTTTAACCCAAAGAACTGCCAGTCCATTAACGAGCAGCTGAACAAAAATACCTAATAAAGAGGCCATGACTTTTAGAACTATATGACAGTCTTCTTAGAAAGTCGCATCCATTACACACTAATAGCCTCTTAAGATGTAAAGCTGCAGACATGATGGCTGAAGAAAACAAACTCTCATCACTCTTTATTAAAAGCTTCACAACACAGGGAAAAGCCAGTAAAAGACAAATCTATAACGACCTGTTTGTCTTCTTAATTTTGACAAAACCCGTCTCTATCAGTGCTAATGATGTGTGAAGCGAGCTATCATTTGCCTTTCAGTCATCTCGTTTGTTTACATTAATAGTACATTTGATTTGTCAGTGCACCAAACACTTAAAAACAATTAACAGTCCAGAGGAGAGAAGTGAGACTTCATGCAGCATAGTTTCCTTTGTAAATTATTGATTCTGCCAAAACTGTCAGAAAGTAATTGTTGTAGCAGTGAAGCTGATAATTTATCAAACACACTAACAGATGGCACGGCGATTATTTTCTCCTGAACACGCAGAGGCGTGTCTTCATCGTGTCGTGAAGTCGAGTCAGGAAGGATATTACATGTGTTTGGCTGATTGATTATAACCAATTCACCACTTTAATTGGAAAATTCTGGGTACTGTACAGCTGATTTGACACAGTCAGTCAAAGATCACACAGACTTGCATTAGCAATCACTTGTATGCAGACAAACGCTTTCAGTATGACAGTTTCTTACTATAAAAGTCTGGATTTTCTTCTGTTTAACATGGTAAATGGTAAATGGCCTGCATTTGTATAGCACTTTACTCAGTCCCTAAGGACCCCAAAGCGCTTCACACTACATTCAATCATTCACCCATTTACACACACATTCACACACTGGCAATGGCAAGCTATGTTGTAGCCAGCCATTGCCTGGGGCGCACTGACAGAGGCGAGGCTGCCGGACACTGG